GAATTACTTTATATTTCTTACACACAAAATAGACATATTAGGGAATGAAAAAAACAAGTTAATTTTAGTGTGATATATCTCAAAACAAAGTACAACACACAGTGGAACATTACACTGTACACATTGATAACGTGATTCTGCATGTTTTTTGTTAGCTGAACATACTTTACATACTCTGGATGGATGCTTTTTTTTCTCTGTAGGTGGTACGAGACTAGGAAAATGCCGTTCGGATAAACCTAATGGATTTTTGTGTGATGGTCGACCGCAGCGGGCTAGACGTCTGCTTGTGTGATACTTCTCTATCACTTCTCTGATTACAGACATACGAAAATCTAGAAATGATATTTGTTTTTTCGTATGTTTTAGATACAAAATACAAGCATTATATAATGTAATATCCATCATATGAAAAAAACACTTTTTGTACTATTTTACCATTTTTCTCATGCATGGATAATTGTGTATTACTCCGTCACAGAGATCAATAGCACCCATATTGCGATTATAATCCAAAATACAATTTGGTTTCCTTATTATTTTCCCAGATCTGTCACGTTTACCCGAATCAGAGAATTCATTGTCACTCATCGTACTTAGAATTGCCACATCCTGTTTGTCTTTTCAGCAGAACACAGACAATTCATCTTTCTGACAGGTGATAAATTCCCATTTTTTCAATTTATATCAGGAAAAGTATGTGGCATTCCTATCCGACTTTTATTTACAGTTCCACATACATTGTCTATACAGTTTCACATATATTGTCTAGAAGCGTTTTCGCTACGGTCGATGAGGTGAAAACCTATCTAAAAAACACATTGTGATATTTACCGAGCAATAGTTCTAATAAGGTTAGCATAACCTTCTCTCCTTTCCCACCTTCAAAATTTCCATATTCAGTAGTAGCTCCAATATAAACTATAAAGTCCCAAACATATCCTGTTTGTGACTTACAAATTTCGAAGCTTTTCACTCCAAAATGAGCACGCTTGTTCAGTATGTATTGTCTAAATACCAATCTCCCTTTCCATAGCATAAGACTTTCGTCTACACAGATATTTTCCTCTGGGAGATATGCATTTTTGAACTTGTAGCATAAACGATCAATAACACTGCGTAATTTATGCAGTCGATCATCACCACCTGAAGCTTGATTATTGTCTGTAAAATGCAGACAAGACAATAAAAGTTGAAAGTGGTTGCTCGTTATCACACTTGAAAAAAAAGGCGTCGAAAAAAGATCTTCAATTGTAAAATACATACTTAGGCGCGGTTTTCTAATTATGCTTGTGACCATTATAAGTCCTAGAAATTCTCTAATTTCTGGATTTGTCGTTGGTTTCCAGTTTTTTATATGACTATTCTCTCGTAAATCATTACAGTTTAGCAAACTATCACCATACTTGTTCGTTTCTGAAACAATCTTGTCAACGAGTTCATCATCGAAGAATATACTGAAACAGTCAAACAGTGTAGCATCACTCTGTAGATTACATAGTATTCCTGATGGTCCTGTAAAACTGTTCACTTGAGGACATCTGAAATTTGTAGGAATCCATTTGTCGTCACTACTAAATCGTGGACATTTAGCAGTATTACTTCGAGTACTGCCGCATGATCTGCTTCTATATCCACTCGTAGATGGTAAATCAGGATCAAAATCACCACTGTCATCACTTACATTTTGATCTGGTATATAATCATCGTTGCTGTCTGAAAATTCAGATTCATCAGAACCTATATTGAATAAATATTCGATAACTTCTGACTTATTTAGAGTGCTGTGTCTACTACTTGCTGCCATGTCGAAAGACAGAGAAGAAGTGGTCTGATTTTCTTTGTGATTTCTAACAAAGAACAATTCCTAGAATTTTGATAACCTGCTGAGCAAAAACTAGATAGCGTAACGGTTCTTCTGATATGAGTCACTTATTTCAAAACAACATACAAGTAGTGACATCTGATGTTTAAAAAACATTCTGATGCAAACACGAAAATATTCAGGATCGCCCATGCAGATCAACAAGGTCAACACGAATATTTTAGGGAACAACGTACAACAGGTTAAAAATACTGTATTTTTTTTAATATTTAATATTTTCTTAATTAATTAAGTACAATAAGAAAAATTATTAATTAATAATAAAACGATTTTATTATTTTTTCTCATTATACGATTTCATTACAATCGCGGAATCGAAAAAGGAAGTAAAACTGATTTTTGCATTAATGCGTTTATTGTTTTTTGAATATTTTGCCTGCGAAAATTACTTGGATATTATTTTTCTAAAAATATCGTGGAAAT